ACTTTGTAGGGGTGTGTGGAATTTGAGAATGTGGGAGGGTAGTCGATTAATGAGATAGGTGGCAGTTAGAACAGCTTCACCCCAAAAAGTTTTTCGAATGTGTGATGTGAGCATTAGGATCAGTTTTAAGTACTATGATATTGACTTGAAACTGATGATGGATAATTTTATGGAAGACTATTGAAAAGTTGGCTAGTTTTAGATTTATCTTTCTTAAGGAATGTCTAATTCGAACAAGCGTGATCAACGAGAAGAAGAAACCAACATGCCCCACTGATATTTTTTACCCTTGAAGGTCCCCAAATGTAGCCGTGGATAAGATAGAAAGGTTGAAATGGAGATTAAGTATGAGGTGAAAAAAGAGCACGTGTTTGGAGAGCCGACAAATTTCATACCTAATAATTTGACTCTTTTTATTAAGAAATAAAGAAAAAAACAAACGCTCAAGATTGACAAAGTTGGGATGACCAAGACAATAGTGCAACATCATGACAAGATTATCTTTATTTGAATGATTTAAAGACACATAAATATAGGTGGACTCACAATTAGATCAAACTACAAGTTTATTGCATTCCTTTGTTAGTGGAGTACCTGTTGCTTTGAGAAGATACAATCCTGCAACATAATTCAACTTTGCCCATCATATTCCGTGATACCAAGTCCTAAAAAATTCAAGAGTTAGCAAAAAAAAGAAAGAAAAAAAAAAGGAAAGTTTCAAAATTCAAGTTCTTATTCAACTTAGTCGCAGATAGTAGATTATACTTCAATTTTGGCACAAACAAACCTAGTTCAAGATATAAGGAGCTTGATATTTGAATACTACTTCCTATCCCAGTTACTTTAGCAGGTGTACCATCAGCAATTAACCGTACAAAGTGAGAAGGAAGAGAATATCTGATGCTCCAGAATCCATTATGCATTCTAATGGAAAAGTTCGAGTATGGATAGCAATGAGATTTTGGTTTTCTTGTTGCATATTTCCAGAACCACTTAGGGATATGTTTTGTTCAATAGGTTCTAGCATGCTCAACAAATCATTGGTAAGCAGTTGCTGGTTAGAAGTGTCATACACAGTAGCCTAGTTTCTCGATCTAATTTGGCAGCATTTGGCTTCCAATTTTCTGGTTTTCCATGTATTTTCCAACAAGTGTCTTTAACGTGTCCTAGTTTATGACAATGATCACACCATGGTCATCCTTTGCGCTATCGGCTATCACCAAATGATTGGGAGATTCCCTGAACAGCAGAGTAACTGGATCATTTGGGTCCCAACATTACTTGCTTTCGACCTTCTTCCCAACGGAGTTTAGCAAATCTTCTCAAAGACTAGGTAATGGATTAGTACCAAGAGTTTGACTACGAGTTTATCTAGAACTTAGACCTGTAAGGAACTTGAAAATTATTTGTCTCCACAATTTCTCGAAAGAGAGTAGAATCATGAGTATGTTCCATTTACGAGTTTCAAATAAGTTCAATTGTTCCCCATATCGAGATAAAGTGGTGTAGTAAGTTGTAACAAATAAAACACCTTGTTTGAGATCTTGGAGAGTAGTCTTGATCTGGAAGTGTTTAACCTGATTGGAGAAGGTGTTTCGAGCAACATCCCAAATCTCTTTTGAAGTTGAAAATAGGAGAAAGTTCTCACCACTATCAGTAGTCATGGAGTTGATTAACCATCTCATAACGTGATGTTCTTCGGCCCTCCATGTGTGGAATTTTGGATCCTCAAGTTTGGGTGAAGTTGATTTACCTGTAATATAGTTTTCTTGTCCATGATCGTACATGAACGTCATCACAGATTGTGACCATTGAAGATCGGCCCTCCATGTGCGGAATTTTGGATCCTCAAGTTTGGGTGAAGTTGATTTACCTGTATTATAGTTTTCTTGTCCATGATCGTACACGAACGTCATCACAGATTGTGACCATTGAAGATAGTTGTGGCCTTTGAGGTTGTAACATGTTATCCGAGTATCGTTGCTTTTTGTCAATGTCAAAACGGTTATTTGTGATTTTGATCTTGATTTACTACAAATACGGTGTTTCAGTCTTCTAAGTTTGTTTAGATGGACGTTTTATTTGTTTTGTTTTTTTTTTTTTCGTTCTATCGCTGTCTTTTTTCATCTCACCCACCTTCCTCCAAAAGAATAAATTTGTATATTCATGGAACTGATAGGGGAATGGATGCTGGAAGCTGGGGCACTTGTACTGGCTGATGGAGGACTTTGTTGTATAGATGAAGTGGACAGGTGCATTCTTTAAATGAATGTTTGCTATTATCACTTGCATGTTGGAGTCCACGGATGAAACTGATTCTATAGAATAAATATGAAGGCCTAAACCTCTGTATTTCATTCAACTTCACAGGCTTCTACATATTAGCCAATGAGCCCTTGTCAAAAGAAGGACTAGAAGGAAAAAATGAGGGACGGGAGTTTACAAAGAAAGAAAAGAAATTTTGATTGTCTTTTCTAGTCGAGATTTTACTTATAAGAACCAAAATTTGCAATTGAAATTGATAGAAAATTTATTAAAACAGGAAAGAAGACTTACAATACCCAACTCAAGCACTTGGAGAGGCCTGGACTCTGCTAAGAAAACTACTCTCCAAATTCTGCCTATCCCATCGTGAAAATGCCGAACCATTTATTTTCCATATTTATAACCACCTTTCACTAATCAACACGTATCAATGAAATATGTGCCCTTCTAATATTCTAATAGCATCCTTAATATTCACCACTAATATTCCTAACCTATGCACTATGCTTAAATTTTATGGAAATCATTTTATATTCTCTTTTTAGTTTGAAAAAAAAAAAAAAGTAGATTTGAAAACCTTAAGCCCTTGATTAAGATGCTTCTTAATCATCTTGTTATTTGAAACTTAAGATATAAAATTTTTCTTTTTACCAGCATGAGAGAACATGACAGAGCCACGATCCATGAAGCAATGGAGCAACAGACTATAAGTGTCGCAAAGGTATTATTTATCTCTAATATAAATAGCAGTTGATATTTTGAGACTCGTAATTAGTGATGCTTTAGATGCTATGCTTGAACAAGAGATGAACGTGATGTGTTATGCAATGTAGAAAGGGGTGAACACATTGTATTGTCTATGAATTGGTAAATTATCTGCAAACTTGAGAAGCAAACGTATATAGGAATGTAAACGGGGGAAGGTTGAAAAGGAGGGAACTTCAAATAAAACAAAAAATATATACTAAACCTAGCTTGGCTTAAAAAGAGAAACGACGACGTAGTTTAGTTTCAGTCAATTTGTGAAACCTAGTCTTAGTATCACTCAATTAAACCTAGTTTCTTCAATTTATACCAAATTAGTTTTACTCAATCTCATTCATTTGGAATGTAATACAAGGTCAATAAACCAGCTAAGGAAAAAAAAAAACAGTGAATGTAAAAACTCGATACTTAAAAATTGACAGCTAATGATCACATCCAAAAAATTATATATTACCGAAGATTTTATTGTTTGAATTTAAAAGCTAATGACCAAATTAGAGAAATCTTACAAATGCATACTCAAGAACGCAAGCATGAACTCAGTTATGCTGGGTGGAAAGTGTGAATATTTACAATAGAAGCCAAAACTTTCCCAAGGAAATCTATGTTTTACCCCCAAAATAAAATTTTAACTAATATTCATGAAAAATCTAACGCTGCAATACGTACTTGCATTCAGGTCAAAATATGGTGATGTCATCAACGATTTTTCCTTTATTCTTTTATGTTTGTGTCAACTTTTACCCCGGTAACTATAGACTGATTAAAAATGAAAATCGCAGCAAGAAATTGTGCACAATGCTTACGTGCAAAAATAACTTTCACCATCCATTCTTACTTTTCTTGATGGGCTACAAGTATAACAAGTTGCATCACTATCTAGGCCCCCTTTCTTTTTCATGAATCGTTCCATTGTTTTCTGCTTTTGTTTCATTTTAAAGCTTGGTTTACACTTGCGTTTGTTTCTTTTTTTTTTGGATGCTCTAGTTTTCTTGAAAACTGTGAGAATGCAACTTATTTTAGATAGAATTAGTCAAGTTGTTAAGTCATTCATCATTATTAGGAGAAATAGTTTATTTCAGTCGAGTTTTTGTAGGAGCTATTTATAGGATTTATTTTTGTTTAAATAGGAGCCCTCCACTTAGTAAAACACAAGCCACAGTTAACAGTTCATTATTTCAGTTGTCCCTGTATTATCTTCTTTGAGTAATAATAATTTCATATTTATTCACACCTTTGAGCGTGAGATATTGTGACAGATGGTATCAGAGCCAAGTTGATACGTTTGATATTATTACTCAACGAGATGAATGGTGGAAGTGCTTCTATGGGTATAGCTATGGAAAAGCTGGTTGGCAATAACTATAGTTATTGGAAGTTATGCATGGAAGCTTATCTACAAGGGCAAGATTTGTGGGATTTAATTGAAGGTGATGACACAAAAATTCCAGCCGATACTCCACAGAATGCAAAATTACGTCAACAATGGAAGATTAAATGCGGAAAAGCCTTATTTACATTGCGAACTTTGATTAGCAAGGAGTATATTGATCATGTTCGTGATTTAAAGTCACCAAAGCAAGTATGGGATACACTTTAAAACTCTCCACAATGGTATGATATTGTCCACTTTGAGGATAAGCTCTCATGGCTTTGCTTTGGGCTTCCCAAAAGGCCTCATTCCAATAGAGATAGTATTCCTCACTTATAAACCCATGATCATTTCCTAAATTAGCCAATGTGGGACTCACTCCCAATAATTCTCAACAATCCTCCCCTCGAACAAAGTACACTATAAGCCTCCCTTGAGGCTTATGGTGCTCTCGAATTGCCTCCCCTTAATCGAGGCTCGACTCCTTTCTCTGGAGCCCTCGAACAAAGTACACCCTTTGTTCGACACTTTAGTCACTTTTGACTACACCTTCGAGGCCCACAATTCTTTGTTCGACATTTGAGGATTCTATTGACATGGCTAAGTTTAGGGCATGGCTCTGATACCATGTTAGGAATCACGACTCTGTCACAATATCTCACGCTCAAAGGTGTGAATAAATATGAAATTATTATTACTCAAAGAAGATAATACAAGGTTAACTGAAATAATGAACTGTTTACTGTTGCTTGTGTTTTACTAAGTGGAGGGCTCCTATTTAAACAAAAATAAATTCTATAAATAGGTCCTACAAAAACTCTACTGAAATAAACTATTCCTCCTAATAAGGATGAATGACTTAACAACTTGACTAATTTCATCTAAAATAAGTTGCACTAATTTTGACAGCCTCCCTCAGTGCAAGCTAATTTCTTAATAACTCCGAGAGCGAAAAACTTCAAACTTCACTTTGTTTCCCTGTTAACAGCTTGCCTTCTTGTTTGTTCTTTAGCAGCTTCTCTTTTTCTCTTTCCTTTTGCCTACGCCTTTTCTTCTTCCTAGCGACAGTCGTTTCTGTGCTCTCTTCTTCAGCTTCCTTATCAACTGATGCATCAGGAGTTACAAAGTCAGGTGGGTTCTCAACTTTGGCCTCTTGTGAAGAAAGAGGAGGGTCGGCTGGTTTTGATATAGTAGGCCACTCTCCTAGCTCGGCAAGAATCTTATCCAAATCTTCTTCTTGAGTCGTCCTTCCACTCTTCTTCTTCTTTTTATTTTTGAAGTTTCTGCCACCCTTTTACCTTTATCTCTAAAATTTTGAGTCAATGCCTTGGTAGTTTTTGTTCTCTCTCCATCTGGCATTTCTTTTTCTACCTCTTTATCTGATACATCAAAATTCCTGGTCTTCACTTCTTGATCGAGGCCCTTGCTTTCCTTGCACTCGTCATCCAACTGAACTGAAGATTCTAACGAGTTCTTGTCATCCATCCCATTACCTTGTTCTCTTTCATCAACCAAACTGTCTTCCAATTTGTCACCTTCGTCAGCCATAACATCACGTTCATCCTTAGTACAATTCCCCAAATCAATCGATACATCCCGACTTTCTGATAAACCAGCGTCATCACTGCAAGCTTCTCTCTCTTTAGCCACATCCATGCTCTTATCCAACAACTCAGCCTCTACCACAACACTGCCTTTCTGAACTTGGTCTAGATTCTCACTTTCAGCAGCGCCCCCAGAAGCTTCCCGGTCAGCCTGCAAGTCTAACAAATTGGTAGTTTGATCCAAATCTTCGGAGATGAGGAAAACGTCAGCCTCAAAGGCATCAAGATCGTCAAAGGTTAGTTCGAAATCTTCATTTTCGTTGAATCCCAAATCCAAGGCCATGAAATAATCAGCAGGGTCACCAGGGGCAGCAGAATTGGCATCGGAGAAAAAAAAGAGTACAGAGGCGAAATTTGGAGAGAATTAAATTCAGAAGCGTAAGTAGTGGAATTACAATTTTGATCACCTGTAGAGACATCATCTTGATATACGGCTGAAGTCACGTTTGTTGGCTGATCAAGAACCTCAGTGGTTAAGCAGTATTCCCAAATTGGATCTGAAGAATTTTTACTTTCATGTACAACATTTGCTTTTGATTCCTAGATTTTGACTCGGCAATTTGGCTTAATATGGCCTGGCTTTCCGCAACGATCACACACCACTTTCACTGACAATCTCGTTTAAAATGGCCTGATTTTCCACACCAGTAACAAGCTTTAAATGGCTTCTTTGACGACTCCTCACTTCTGAATTGATTCCCATTGCTAGATGAAGGCTTTGAATGAAAATTCTGTCTCCTTTGATCTTTGACATACAACACATCTTCTGACTTTCGGGAAAACTGGTTGCTGCTAGTCATTTGCTTAATCAAGGCTTCCTGATTGGAAAGAAGATTCGAACTGTAGGCTGATTTGCCCACCCTTGTATTGAGGAAACAAAGGGCATAAACTCTTTCCGTAATCCACGAATAAGATAACGTCGTAATCGAGCCTCACTCACTGGTTCCTCAGCATCTAATTCTGAAATTTTAGAACACAGATTTTTCACTTTAAAAAAATATTCTTCAACAGAAAAATTACCTTGAGTTACCATAGCTAGTTCATTCTCTAGAAATTGCAGTCGAGCGGTATTTTTCTTAGTGAACAACTTTTGAAGTGTATCCCATACTTGCTTTGGTGACTTTAAATCACAAACATGATCAATATACTCCTTGCTAATCAAAGTTCGCAAGGTAAATAAGGCTTTTCCGCATTTGATCTTCCATTGTTGACGTAATTTTGCATTCTGTGGAGTATCGGCTGGAATTTCTGTGTCATTACCTTCAATTAAATCCCACAAGTCTTGCACTTGTAGATAAGCTTCCATGCATAATTTCCAATAACTATAGTTATTGCCAACCAGCTTTTCCATAGCTATACCCATAGAAGCACTTCCACCATTCATCTCGTTGAGTAATAATATCAAACGTATCAACTTGGCTCTGATACCATCTGTCACAATATCTCACGCTCAAAGGTGTGAATAAATATGAAATTATTATTACTCAAAGAAGATAATACAGGGACAACTGAAATAATGAACTGTTTACTGTGGCTTGTGTTTTACTAAGTGGAGGACTCCTATTTAAACAAAAATAAATCCTATAAATAGCTCCTACAAAAACTCGACTGAAATAAACTATTCCTCCTAATAAGGATGAATGACTTGACAACTTGACTAATTCCATCTAAAATAAGTTGTACTAATTTTTACAGCATTAAGTTGAAGGTTAGCCACAGAATTTGATATTTTTCTGTTTACGTTGTTTCAATAAAACTGATAAAGAAAAGTAAGCAGAACAGTTGAACGTTTAAGTAGGACCAAAAAGTATGATGCATTACGTCTGCATATAAACATATGACAACTCTGTGGTGTTTGTAAGCTGCTGTCATGCCATGCCGCTTTCAAGTTAGAAGGCCGGCCCAGTAGTTATCTTCCTGCATATTTATTTCTGCTTAGTTACTCTACTCGAGATGTATGTATTAATGCATGAAGACTCTTTTACATATTTTCTTTCTCCTACGTTCTTATCCCTTTTTCTTTGTTTAGGCTGGTCTTGTAACAACTCTCAGTACTAGAACGATAGTATTTGGCGCAACAAATCCTAAAGGACATTATGACCCTGAACAACGTATCATTTTCATATTATCTATGTGGCTTAGTCTAACAATCTTAAAGTGTGGTTCCTGTATAGCACAAGCTTGCTGGGCTTACTTATTTGGTTGTTGCTGGGATGGGAATGATAGCCACATTGGAGAGGCTATAATTGCTATTCTCGTTTTTGTTTTCATCTTTTTTATAAAATTGTTTATATTTCCTGCATTTTTCTCTTCCTTTCGTTGTTCTCTTTATTTTTTTTTTTCTAATGCAGCCTCACAAGGAAAGCTCATCCTCCTGCTGCTTGAACATGTATTTGAATCCCTTACAAGTAAAAGCCCTTGATATTTATGTTTGCACGAGTCTAATTTATGTTTCCGAAATTTTGCTTCAAGTTTCTTCAAAACTTCAAAAATTAGGCAAAGAAATGGTTTGCTTCTATTTGAGTCATTGTACTTTTCAATATATATGTGTGTGTGTGTGTATGTATGGGAATAAGTTATTTCAATGAAGAAAATCAATGTGATCATGTTTGATGAATTGATGAATTATTGAATTTTTACTCTGATGACAGCACCTCGAGAGGTACTCTTTCAAAAAAAAAAAAAAAAAAAAAAA